TTTTCACCCAAAAACGCAATGGTGAAAACCTTTGCGAGCTTAGTTCATATATTTGAGAAGTCACATTCAAAGTTCAGGACAAAGAATTCCACAACCATGTTCTTGAAATTTTCTAATAAAATATGAATGAATTGTATGTTCTTCATCCAACAATGGTGAGAATCATCACACACCCTAGTCAACAATTGGAAAAATCACCCAAAAACATAGTGGAGAAAACCTTAGAGAGTTTAGTTCATATATTTGGGGAGCCACGTTCAAAGTTTTGGACAAACAATTTCACAACCATGTTTTTGGACTTTTCTAATAAAATATGAATGAATTGGATGTTATTCATCCCCTAACGTCGAACAATTATAAGAATCATCATCCACCGTAGTCAACAATTGGAAACATCGCCCAAAACCACAGTGGTGGAAACCTTAGGGAGCTTAGTTCTTATATCAGGGGAGCCAGGTTCAAAGTTTTGGACAAAGAACTTCACAATCATGTTCTTGAACTTTTCTAATAAAATAAGAACGAATTGGATGTTGTTCATCCATTAACGTCCAACAATGGTGAGAATCATCACCTACCCAATCAACAATTGGATAAATCACTGAAAACCACAATGGTGAAAACCTTGGAGAGCTCAGTTCATATATATGGGGAGGCAAGTTTAAAGTTTTGGACAAACAATTTAACAACGATGTGTTCAGTAGTGGGTTTAGGGAGTGCATGAGTTCACTTGTAATTGATTACAGTTATGTTGTAATTGATTACAGTTATGTTGTAATTGATTACAGTTATGTTGTAATTGATTAACTGCGGTTATCTTGTTGATAGATTTGAGTTATCTCTTTGTTTTGATGAAATGTAAAGAACAACTTTGACCTTTGCTACTTGTTTGATGCATAAATTTCTCCACAATTATCTAATTAAGGTAAATATTTTTGTTATATTTTTGATTTAATGATATTCAATTTGAATGTAAGAATATATTTTTTTGAGTTTTGTGGAAGATGTATTTAATCTCGAAAATACGAAATGAATTATAGATGACAACTTTGATCATTGGTGATTGATTGATGCATAACTTTTGTCACAGCTATCCAATTTGGTTGATTCTTTTTGTAATACATTTTTTACTTAATGATCTTTAATTTGAATGTTAGATCTTATCTTTTGCACTTATGTGGAAGATGCAATTTAATTTCGAAAACACCAGACAAATTGTAGATGACAACTTTGAGCTTTGCTACTTTTTTTTATGCATAAATTTATCCATAGTTATCCAATTGAGCTAGTTATTTTTTCGTTACATTCTTGTACTTTTGTAATAAGAAATAAATAAATTGGATATGAAGGGTTCGCCTAATGGAAACAACCAAACTTTGATCCAGCAAACATGGTCAATTTAACCCACATGACAACAAAATTGATCCATGTATCAAAATCAAAATCGAAAAAAACGAAGACAACAAAACATAATCATCAACACGCTCTCCTTAATGGAAAACAACACAAATCTAGTCATGGTCTGCACAATTGAAACCAACATAAATATGTGCATTGACATAAAATATTACAATGAATGTTCTTGTATTAGACTTTACAACAATTTTTACAAACAAAATGAACAAACTTATGTTTTTCTATTCAGCCTTACAGAAATGACAACTTTTACTACATATATCACAACCTTTTGCTCCCATATTCGACATATGGAGTTCTTATGGCAAGACACTTGAAACGTATGTGTCGTCCTTCTTTCATTCGCTTATACATATTGTTTTGCTCAATGTAAACCTTAGCTTCAAATTGCATTATGTTGTTGTCATGTTCAACAGGGTGACCACCAAATTTGATGTCTACTGAACCAAATTCACTAGAATCATTAGTTCCACCGACATCTTTTTCCACATTTTGACCACCTTCATCTTTACTTCTTTTTTCAACCAATTTCTCTAAAGCACAAACGAAAACTTTGAGTTCGTCAATAACCCGTTCTTGTTCTTCTAAAACACAGACAAAGACTTCTTTATGTGTTGTATTATCTATTGTCTTATGTTTCTTAAAAGCCACACCACATTTCTTAATTGCTTCTTTCACAATTGGATAACAAAGTTCTTCTTTCGACACACCAACATCATCTACCACCTGAAAAATAAATAATTTTTTTATTCTAGGAATCCATTTTTATACATTATGTATAACACAAAATTCTATAACAATGAACTACGCACCACAACCTTTTTTATAACACTTTTGATGAAATTATCACCTACTTTTATATTAATCCAATGCAACACCCTTGGAAATTTACTTATGCGGGAGTGTGAAGTCATAAAATTATCACAAAACCATAGCTAAAAATATTTAAAAAACCACCTAATAACTCACATCAGTCTACAACATAAATAATTTCTATTTCAGTAAAAGAATACATAGACATCATTTACCTGAAGGTGTAAACACATCCAATACGTAGGTCCTACTTTTTCCATTCTTTAATGCTATTGAAGCATTGCATAAACTCGCCACCAAATACTCATAAACTAAACTATCTCAATTGTACTGACCCATACACCCTAAGTGATGGCAATCCTCCTAGCTAGGTTGGACCAAAGCTAGAAGAGAAAGTCATGGTGAAGGGTGAATGGTGAAGGGTGAAGGGTGAGTGTTTGTAGAAGTTGGTAGAAATGGGAGCTAAACTCACGATTTTGTGATGTTTGTTGATAATGGAGGTGGTGTTTGATGGTACTCTTAGAGAGAATAGGCCAACTCCAAAGGAAGGTGGCTAGAGGAGACCACATGAGATGCTCTGGCCTTTAGTGACCTAAAATGAGTAGTATGGCACAAAAATGATAGCATAACTTTACTTAAATTCAAAGATAATTACATGAAGGAGAGATACCTCTATTTATAGGCTAAGATGTCTCGAAACTTTAACCTAAAGGAGCCACCTTGGCTAGCTTTGGGAGCAAGGAGATATCCTCTCCATTAGGTGAAGAACAAGTTGCAAAATCCTCTCCAATGAGCGGGGAACATGTGGTCATTACCTATTGGGAATCCTCTCCATTCCTAGAGTGACACGTGACCACTAGCTAGGAGGAAAAACTCTCCAAAGGGAGGGTAACACATGGCATGGACAACTCACCCCTCCTTGTCCACCAAGTTAGATGCAACTTTGACCCCTTGGTCAATAAGCCAAAATCACATCCAACTTTGGTCAACATTGGGCCTTGGCCCTTTGTTGACTTGAGTGGTCAAAACCCTATTGGGTGTTACTCCCTCCACCACCACATTTTCTCTCTCCACCTCCCCAATTCTATTACATATTTTTTGAATTAGAAAACTAACATTTTATAATTACACAAATAACCTTTTTTTTTATTTTTTAATCCTAATTATTTACTTTAACCCTAAAATCTATCTTTCTACCCCTTCTCACCCACCTTCCAACCCCTCAGATTCTCACCTAAACTCCATCAGATTTGTTTCTCATCTTCCATTTTTCCTCACAGTGTGGTGGTGCTTCAAGGTACTGGTTCAGAGGCGTGAGAGGTTCAGAGGCGTAAAGGTGCGTAATAAAACCCTAAAATATAAATCGTATAATCTTTAAAAGGATGTGAGCATCCGTCAACGGATATCAACATCCGTTTAAGGGAAAACGGATGTCAACATCCGTCGACGGATATCGACATCCGTTTCAGATCCAAACGGATACCCGACATCCGTTTTTGGCCTGGTTATCTTCTTCCTTTCTCCCAACACACGCACACAGCAAAAAAACGCAGAGCACAGCACAACACAGAGCACAACACAGAGATATATGCATTGCATTTAAAAAAAAAATTAAAAATATCATCACTAACCTTGTGAGAAAAAATGGAAGATGAGAAACAAATCTGATGGAATTTAGGTGAGAATCTGAGGGGTTGGGAGGTGGGTGAGAAGGGGTAGAAAGATAAATTTTAGGGTTAAAGTAAATAATTAGGAATAGAAAATAAAAAGATTATTTGTGTAATTATAAAAGGTTAGTTTTGTAATTCAAAAAATATGTAATAGAATTGGAGAGGTGGAGGGAGAAAATGTGGTGGTGGAGGGAGTAACACCCAACCCTATTTCACTTGGCCCAAAATACAAGGCCCAAAATAAATCCTACACTACTAGACCCATAATGCAAAGCTCAAATAAATCCTAGACTACTTGGCCCAAAATACAAAGTCCAAAATTATTCTTACTCTAAAAGCTTCATGATGGCTCAATATGGCCCAATAATATAGCCTAGGCCCATCTTCCACATATGACTTCAACTCTTCTTGAAAGTGCTTGGTCATGGCTAGGGGGTATGCCATCATTAAATCCTCAACAAGTTTAAAAAGAATGGGAAATATTATTCCAATACGATTAGGTCAGCAAAAACTCACATATCTCTAACAAAATATACAAGCTACAAAAATGTGCTAAAGGAAAATTTTCATGTTCTTGTAACAAAAATTGATATATGACATTAACATATATTTTTCCAACACCAAGGTAATTCTTACATTGACTATGTACACCAACCCATTTAAACCAACTTTTTTCTTCAATCACACTCAACCCTAACCGTAAACATACACCCGTCAAGTCAACGCATATGCCACATAACTCATTCAACAGATTCTTACCAATCTTAATGTTTTCATGCAACTATAATAACCCATCAAAGGGTGTGCTCTTAATAAAACACCTTTGTTTCGGAATCAACCTTTGATTCAAACTACCAACTAACTTCATTTTCCACAAATCGCGTACAAACAACTATATAAAATCATAGACCCTATTAACAGAATTTGTTAGTTGTACCATACAAAGACACAAACCTTGCTACCATGACCAACTTCACCAGATTTCTCCATTTCAAACACACAAAAGAAAAAGGGAAAAGGGAAAAGGGATTTCCGAAGACAAAATGACCCAACGAAAGGTTTGGACAAATAGGTTTTTGCAAAGCGAAAGAAAGGCACTTGGGCATGCTGACGGTTGTGGGGGAAGGAAAAGAGGTTACCATGATGATGGAGGAATGGAGAGAGCATGAAGAGAAAACGGAGATAGATTTCGAGAAGAAGGGGCAGGGGAAATCGAGAAATGAAATGCCACAGCCCATGATACCCTTCACGTCAGTTTTTTTGGTTTTAAAAAAAATTAAAATGGATCAATGACACGCTGACACATGACGTTGTCAAAATGTTGTTAAAGTATCATGATAAAATTTAATATTGATTGTTAACTGTTTTGTGATTAAGGTTTTCGTTATTATATATATTTTTGTCTCAAATTCGATAGTTGAGTATGTTTCCTATCGATATTTTCCTTATATCAACCAATTTTCTTGATAGCTAAAGTGTGACATCCCTAAAATATACGGCATGCATATATAATAAAGATGTCATTGAGTTATAATAATAGAAAGCAGTTGGAAACATATAACAGAATATTGGGAATTACAGTCATCCTTAAAATGCTATGAAGATAAACTTGAGGTACTAGAGTCTTCCAAAATGTCATAGGTTCTACATATAACAGTTTTTCAAAATGCATAATTTAAGGTACAGATATCCTAATGATACTAGGATTCAGCATTCTCTTCCTCCAAGGCTTGCTCCAAGGGCACCTCCTCGACATCTGCTCTCATCCAAGTGGATGATCATCGCAAAAGAAAACACACCAACATAACACGAACACAAACAAGCAAGGGTGAGCTAATTATATAAAAAGCATATGATATGACAATATGTGCATGCAAGAGTTAACTTCAATCAAGCAAGATAAACACGCATCCTAACATGTTGAGTACTAGACTTGACTCGTCCGGACTTTAGAATGATAGTCGAACTATGACGGGTCTTGCACTCATGGTGGCTTATGATACTTGGGTTCCCCACCCTACCACACTCACGAGGTTAGCCTGTTCCGGGCCTTGAGGCGTACTAGAAGCCCCCAAGACTAAGACCTCCTGTTATTCCTCACCACATGGTTCAATCCTTTCTACGTGAGAAGAAAGACCGTTGGAGTTTCAGGATGACCCCCAAGACTGAGCTCCTACATTCATTCTAAACATACTTGAATCTCAACAAGATAATTCACTGTGGATCACAACATGAGGCACCACCATGTAACCCCCCTGTGAGGTCCATGGAATTACGTCCATCAAACATACTTTGAAATATATTAGAGTTTTATCTTTATTATGTTTTACCTTCCGAGCCTGTGAACAGGGTTATGAATGTTTTAGGGTATTTGAAACCTTGTAAGATTGGCTTTTGATGATATTTTTAATTGTAATTTGGTCGATGAAATGTGGAATGATGTGTGGTTCAGGTCAGTTTAGTTGGGTGGCATTCCGTGGATATATGATACAAACTGTTCTGTACGGTGTATGATTCTCCTTAGTGATTATTCTATTTAAGTATATCTCTAAGCATTGGATTACTAGGTGTTTTTTGTATTATAGAGGCATGCTAAGTTTCCTGTGTTCTGATTACATTGAATAACCTTTTAGCTCTGAATTCTAAATTTTGCCTGATAATTGCAGATTCCACACTTGAGGCCTGCGGAATACAAGAGGTCAAGGTTACCTAGAAACCGTAGGACTGTAAACCGTGCATATGGTGGAGTTTTGTCCGGAAGTGCTGTCAGGGAGAGGTTTGTCTTAACTTTTAACAGCTAGTTTATATTTATAATAACTTTTTTGATTTAATTGTTTGGTCTGATTTGGCTTATAATTTGCTTATATTTGTCTCTGGTCTACAGGATTATCCGAGCTTTCTTAGTTGAGGAGCAGAAGATTGTGAAGAAGGTCTTGAAGATCCAGAAGGCCAAGGAAAAGCAGGCCTTGAAGGGTTAAATTTGGACAGCCAAAACGAGACACATCTTTTGGAAGGCTGTTAGGTTTGAGTGGTTATAGTATATCACAAGTTTTATTAGAGCTGTTAATTGTGTTTTTATTATTTGGTTTGATTTGAACTCATTCTAGAGCAATTGTTAATTTCGTCGACAATGCCATTCTGATACAGTTTTGTTTGTCTCAATTTTCTCGTAATGGTTTATTTATGTTTGTCATGTTTCTGCAAATAGGACTTCGAAATTCTACGCGCATTGTGATATATCTCAATTCTGGCTGCATCTCCAGCTGTATTCAGCTATTAAAATGCTTAATTTTCTAGGAACAATATTCCTTGATGTTGGTAATCGGTGGGTTTATGTTACAGTTTGTTGGATAAACAGCATTAGTTTCTGTTGGATTGCTGAACTTGAACATGTGCCAAGAATAATGGCTATTTGAATGAACGATTTCTTAAAAAAAATATATCATCACCAGTGACGGGTTTAATGTAAAAAAGTTGAAGTATTCGATAGCCATCACACATGTCAGGTAGGTTTTTCACATGTTTACCTTTCGTCATTTAGAACATCAAAGACTATTATTCTCTAAGTTTGTTATTACCAGCTCAAGAATTCATATAAATGTAATAAATGTAAGGTGATTGTTTGACATACATTAAAACGACAGAGTCATACGAGAAAGAGAATCATCAGCAATTATGTTGTGATAGTCTCTGAATATGTTGTCGACTAAAAAGCAAAAGCAAAAGTAGTCACTTACATCAATGCTTTGCCAACTATTTAAGTTTTACGTTTATTTTGATACTTTGATTGAGGGTAAGTAGTATGATGATAATAACGTGTTTTTGGAATATATTTTCCAATATTTTTCCAATAAGTTTATATTAGATATTAAATTTATGATAAAATTACATTGCACACAAGAAAAAAACGTGTTGTGAAAAACTCACGATTTTTATCATGAAAATATTCCATACTTTGAATTCAATATATTAGAAAAGAATGCCAAATTCCTTAAAATAAAAAAAATTTCATTGGAAAATGCTCTCACATTCTAAAAAATATTTTATCGTTTGAAGTTTTTGTTTTGGATAATTTAGTATTAATTTTTTTTGTCCATTCTTACTCTATTTTCTTGTAGTTTGAACTCACTTATAATCATTTTCAGTATTAAAATATTTTCTCATTAAGCATATCAACTTATTTAAAAGCTATTTTCAATCTTTTTGCAAAACAAGCCTCTTTAAACATTAAAGGAGTTTGAAATAGGAATTGTATTTAAGCCCAACCAAGGAATTAGATTCCACTGACACACTACCATCAATACTCTTAATAAGAGAAGATCAATTCACAATACAAGTATTATCATGATTAACTACCAATAATTAAACTCGAGACTTTATCACAGGTTCTATCATGGCCTTAACTAGTTGAGCTAAAGAGCCTATAGTCTCATTCTATGTACCAACCACCTCAGGACAACAATATTGTATTTTATTGCCAGTTGTTTTCTCTTCACCAAAATAACATTGACATGCTATTATAATCTTCTACAATTAGATAGATTGTGACCAATCATCTTACAATTTGAACAAAATAAAGCCAATTTCTCATAATCCACATCAATAATAAATGTAAATCCTAACCTTTTCACCATAATTTGATTAGGCAAATCAGATAAGAAATCAACATCGACTAAAGCATGTGCAGAAAAACCTCAAGACTTATTCTTGGTATAATCATCTAAAGATAAAAGTATACCAATTCTACGTGCTATTGAGAAAATCGGTTTCATGAAGTAAAAAATATGATATTGTCCATAAATAGAAAAGAACATATGATCATTTACTAAGGCACAAAGGCCTAATGGCAATGTAAGTGTTTTCTTTCTTGTTGTTTTCTTTATAATAGTTAATTTTTCTTTTAACTTGATTTTTAGTTTCTATACGCAAGTTTTTGTGCGTACTTTTTTCATTGTTAGTTCATTGAATTTATTAAGAACGAAACTGACGCACCAAGACACCAACTCTAGGCTAATTTTGGTATAGAATGACTTTCAACATTTTAATTTTTTTAAGGCTTTAACATGGATGTGACGACATTTATGGATTCATAAGACCTAAACACAACTCACAGGATCAGAAAATCAAAGAAAATGACTCAAAACATAACCTAAACCCATGACACAAGACCCAAAACTCTACATATATTCATAAAGAAAATTGAAATCCTAAGAACACAACTGGTTTTGATTCAAGAAACAAGTAGTTTGAATCAAAATTTAAAACATACAACACATATACATGATTAAACAACATACAAGACATGGTGGGTAATATGAGACACAAAGAAAATGACTACAATTGGGTAAGAACTTAGACACTTACATCTTGTAGACCTCAAGATAGTGATCATAACTTTAGATACCAAATGATGGGAATAGATGAGGATGCTCCTTCAACAAGTGATGAAACTCCATAGAAGTGAGATGATGTAGCAGAAGCAATTGATGAGAAATGAAGGTGCTTTGAATGGTGCGATCTTGATGTGAATCCTTGAAGGAGGTTGGACTAATCTTGAAGGGTAAAAGGTAGAAGAAGTTTAAATTTTAAAAATCTCCAATGAAAACTCAAGAAAGGTGAGACTTGAAATTTTGGAAAAGGTTTCACAATTATCATTCAAGTTTTAAATTATAAAAAGAGGTGTCTCTCCTTTTATAGGTGAAGAAGAAGGGTTAGAGTACAAAGAATTCTTAAGGAGCCTAAAACATTTAATGAGGAGCCTAAACATTAAATGATGAGCCTATGCTTGTAAATAATTAGCAAAACATTCTCCATCATTAAATGAGGAGTCTATGCTTATATCTAACCAATCAAAGCATTAGGCTCCTTGTAGCTAACCCCTTCTAAACCCAAAATGAAACCCGTTTAGGTGCTAATTACCTTATTAAGGCCCTAATGATGCTCTAAGATACTCTTAAAGGCACCAAGCCTTCTAAACAAAGCTAGGCAATGTTCTTGGCCAAATACAAGGCCTAAAATCAAACTATATTACATATTTACAAGGCTTAAAAGAAAGTAAAAACAAACTTGAAAACACATCTTCTTCTTTCGTTCTCCAAGCCCAAGCTTAAGTTGATGCTCCCTAGACGGTTCTCCATTAAGCTCCCAAGATGGTTTCCATCATATCCTCCCTCTTGAAAAATGATTTGTCCTAAGATCAGGAAGATAATTAACGAAGCACAACTTTGGCGGTTGGTCTCCTCCTGAATCAAACTTTGCTGGACAGTTTTCTCGAAATGGTCCATGAAAGAGTGAGGGGACTCCTCCTTCTCTTGATTTAGTTTGACCAAGGTAGGAGTAGTTATATGGTGCGACCTACTCATGGCGAATTTCATGTCGAGCAATGAATGTATGGTCACAAAATTTATCTATGGAGTTGGGTGGTAAGAAGTTGAACCATCCCAATGCCTCTCCTTTAAGGGAAAGGAAGAACACCTTGCACCATACCAGATCGTTGGTGGTGTAGAAGTCTATTGGGTGACGACATCTTCAAGTGATCTTTTGGATAAGTCAATCCATCGTACTTCTCAAAGACTAAAGGAACTAAAGGCATAAGGGTCTCCATGATGGCTACCATGAAGGGTCATAGGCTGGCTAATAGTAACCTTCCAAGCAAGGATGGTCCAAAGCTAGAAAGGCTATGAGGTTTTGTCCCTTTGGTGATGTCGATGCGAAAATATGGTGGACAAAAAGGTAAGAATATAGAAGCAATGGTTTGATATGGAAGAAGGCTCACGATCATAGGTGGTGATATGGTGGGTTGTGTGTGTTTGGTGGCTAAAGAGAGGTTAAGCCAACTTTAAGGGGAAGGTGACTAGAGGGGCCTCATGGATTGCTCTAGTCTTGATCTTAAGATCAATAGTATGACAAAAAAATGGGCAGCATAACATACTCAACATCAAGATAATTACAAGAGAGGAGACATATTTATTTATAGGCTAATGGTTGTGTCCTAAAAGCCCTAAAAAACCAAAACTTTGCATGCCTTCCCTTCCAAGTCATCCTTGGCCGAAAATATTGGCCCTCTAAGGAGTGGACAAGTGTCCACAAATGTTCCAATAAGGGAAGGACATGTGGCAACTAACAAAGCAAAATCCTCTCCATTTTTGGAGTGTCATATGACCACTACTAAAGTTATATCCTCTCCAATGGAAGCATGACACATACTTTCCAGATACTTTAGACATCTAGCTTAAGGAAAAATCTTATATTAATTAGGCCTTAATATAAGCCTTAAAGAAACATATACTACTTGGCCAAAATACATGCTTAAATCTCCTAATATAATAAAGGTGTTCCATGATGGTCTAAGAGAAAGAGTTTTGCTTGACTTTGCATAGATGACTATAACTCTTTTTCAAAGTGCTTGGGTCATGGCTAAGGGGTATGCCATCATCGGCCGTATTCACCATCTACAAAAATGGGTTCTCCCTACATGGGTCTTCCCTAAGCCTGAATGGGCCAGGCTGAAACTGTTGTTGTTGCTATTATGTTGATGCTCGAGGCATGTAGTGTCAAACACTATGCTCTTGGTGCATAGCTGCGATTTAGCTCTAATAGTCGTAACCTCCTCTTCATACCTCCTTTGCATCTCCTTTCTGCTGCAAGATTACTGGGATGATTCTTAGACTCCTCCACCACTACATTGCTTGTCATGTTCTTGGTTGTCACTATGGGGTTTTTGTTGGTTTATTGAATACTCGGTTCATGGTGGGCATAAAAATGTTTTGGGATGTAAAGTCAAGGTTAACATCCAACGTCTAAAAGTAGTCAAAGGGGTCCCAAAGTTGTCTTTTGCCCCAACTCTCTTGTAGTCATTCATCCAAGCTATTCGAAGGGCATCGCAAAAGGGATTCTGATGCCAAAGTCAGTTTAACGTTTGACAATTCATATATTAATGGTGTAGTAAATGCAATCACTTACCTTCTTACTTCAAACCTATATTTTTAGATATCAGAGTGGGCTTTTGATTAGCGTTAGTGGTAATCACAGTTTACCTTTAAATTGTTCAGCATTATAATTAATTATCTTGATAATTGACAGATCTGAGACTTTGTGCCTGTCCGATCTTGATAATTCGTTCATACATGTAGTTAATAGTTGATCGTCGGACCTGTGATTGACCAAACGATTATATGATATATGTTGGCTAGTCATGCCTAGGAGCTATATAGCCCTGCATATTTATTATTTACATATATTATACTACATCTTATATATCAAAAAATCAGCAGCTTAAGTTATGAAAAAAAAAATTTCTCACGATACACGAAAACGTTTTCTAATCAATATTATGTAAGCGAATATTTTTACAAGAACATTTTTCAGATTTTGATATAGCTGTCGATAGACGTTTCAATCAGCTATTTTGACTTTTTATATATCAGTTTTATTAATCGTTATCAGTTCCAAGATGTAGAGGAATTGAAAGTAAGAACATTTAATATTGCTAATATATCTCCACCATAATTTTAAAACTATTTTTATTATCAATGTATTCAGTAAACAATAAGTTAATAAAATTATTGTTGAGTATAGGAAGCACGCAATCTAAAAGCTGTGAGTTGAATCAATAATTCATTTTAGTCAAAAAATGAACATTCTATTTAAGCAAATTGCATTCCTTCTTAAAAGTAATCTGAATCATTGTTTTTGTTTTTGTCTCTGCATTTTCTGAGAGTGAAGAAATGACTTTAAGTGGGAAAGTGGAGGCTGAAGTAGACATCAAAGCATCTGCAGATAAGTTCTTCCATGTTTTTCGAAAGCAACTTCAGCATCTTCCTAATATCTCCTCAGAAAGGATACATTCAGCTGTACTTCATGAAGGTGACTGGGAAAATGATTGATGCTGTAAAACCTGGGAGTTTTCATAGGTATTTTTGTTGTTACGCTTCAACTTCTGCTTCAAAAAATTCAATTAATTCAAGTCAATGCATCAATTCAATTAATTCAAGTTTGAATTTTGTTTATTGGATTAGAACCAGCAAATTCCCTCAGTTATACATATAAGAAATCTAACTCCATCCTCAGATAATCTTAACACTAAATATTTATAGATTTTGTTTTTATTATATATCATTCAACTTTCTCTGTTTTATCAATGAAATTTTCAATTCATACTTAGTTTTCTAATATTTTAAATTTTTACAAAAAATTAGTCATATTTCTTATTTTAATATTCTTACATCACTTGATAGTTGATACTACAAATAATTTATATATATTTATATCTTTTAATTCTTAGTTGCGAAGGTAATTACAATTTAAATATATTTTTTTAACCCTTTAATAATTAAGAATAGGAATTATTTAAATATATTTTCTCTAAACCATTTAGAATTTCTTGAAAAGACAAAATGATGATTGGATTTAAAAGTAGAGAAATACTTAGAAGGTTGTAAGTGGTCAGTGACCTTACAATACTTTCTATATTTATTAAAAAAAGTAATCCAATTTAAGATTTATGATGAGATATTTGTATGGATTTTAAAAGTCTAATCTTTACGTTGAGTCTAAGATTTTGACAGAAAATACTCTAGAAAAATTATATAAAACACTACGGATAAATTCGTAAGGATAATAAATTTACATGCTTTTAAGAAATCAAGTTTTGTTTGTATTATTATGCGTATTAACTACTTAAAGTAATTGATTTTAATGAATAGTTACGTAAATATATATATTTTTCTTATTTGAAACATTATTTTGTTGTGATGACTTTTATGTACATATGTATATGACTTGATGCCCATTTTTTTGAAAAAAAAAATTATGAAAACATGTAGAAGGAAAGAAGACAAGTGCTAAGGAGAAAATTGAAGTTGTAGACGATGATAACAAGACAATAACATTCAGCGTCTTTGATGGAGAAATTGGTGAGAGTTACAAGAGTTTAAGGGCCACACTGCAAACAATCGATAAGGAGAATGGGGGGATTGTGAAATGGACCTACGAATATGAAAAACTCTCAGAGAATGTTAGAGGTCCATCTCCTGAATCAATCTTGGACTTTGCTGTTTTCGTCACTAAAGATATTGATGATCATCTTGGCAAGGCATAAAATCAGAAAGAAGCCACATGGTAGTGGGTTTGGCTAATGCTTATTAATAAGTTTGGTATGTAATAATGCTATATAATATATATATATATATATATATATNCATAAAAAAATATATATATATATATATATATATATATATATATATATATATATATATATATTATATAGCATTATTACATACCAAACTTATTAATAAGCATTAGCCAAACCCACTACCATGTGGCTTCTTTCTGATTTTATGCCTTGCCCAGATGATCATCAATATCTTTAGTGACGAAAACAGCAAAGTCCAAGATTGATTCAGGAGATGGACCTCTAATATTCTCTGATAGTTTTTCATATTCGTAGGTCCATTTCACAATCCCCCCATTCTCCTTATCGATTGTTTGCAGTGTGGCCCTTAAACTCTTGTAACTCTCACCAATTTCTCCATCAAAGACGCTGAATGTTATTGTCTTGTTATCATCGTCTACAACTTCAATTTTCTCCTTAGCACTTGTCTTCTTTCCTTCTACATGTTTTCATAATTTTTTTTTTCAAAAAAATGGGCATCAAGTCATATACATGTACATAAAAGCCATCACAACTAAATAATGTTTCAAATAAGAAAAATATATATTTACGCAACTCTTCATTAAAATCAATTACTTTAAGTAGTAAATACTGATAATAATACAAACAAAACTTGATTTCTCATGTCAATTTATTATCTTAAGAATTTATCCTTAGTGTTTTACATAATTTTCTTAGGATATAACAGAATTTATCGAATTTTCTAAAATACTCAAAATCTAATAAGATAAACTCTTTTTAATAAAAATAATTACCAGGATAATAGAAGAATAACATAAAAAGAAAAGAGAACCAAAGAGATATCACTTGTATAATTTTGGAGGAAGCATTGTAAACCTATTTGTTTGAGGGAGAAGTGATTTATGATGGATAAAAAATCTTAAGGTTTGAGAAAGAAAAATCAACAACTTATCATTCACAACATCACAACTTGCGAAAGAAGAAAAAAAGAATCTAACAATTGTTGGACCAAAGTATTTGACGTAGCTTTCGTAAATCTAGATAATAGGGTTTTAAATTTTCAACTAAGTGTTTGTTAGCTTTGCAATATATTCTCAAAGGCTTTATTTTATAACACTTTATACTTGTTTTGTCCAATAAAATATAATTTTTATAGTTATAGATTGAGTGTGAGAAAGTAGAAGTAGTGTCGATCTATTATTGTTCTTTAATTAATTAATTAAGAGTAATTATTCATTCACACTCTAACTTTTCTTACATTTATATTACAACTTTATAAATTATTATTTTATTACAATATTCTATTCTTATAATTTTAACAATGATTTACATTGAAAATCAATTGTCAAATGAACGTAGGAACAGTAGTGCAAAGCATATTACTCGTTTTTCCATTAATTAACTTGACTAAGACTGATATCAAAAACTTAAAATGTATAAAGACTAAATAAGTCGAAGATTCTCTAACCAAGTCAAAATTCCATGTCTCTAGGACTTATAAGAAAAATGCAGTGATAAAAATTTGAGTCAAATTATTCTTAGCTGCGTTTAAGTGAATGATAAGTTAAGTGATTTTAAGGTAAAAAAAAATAGAGAATTAAGTAATGATATTATAACACATTTTTACATTTATATAATACATATTATAAAAATAAAATAACGATAAAAATATAAATTTTTATATCTTTTTAAAAATTAAAAAAATAATAAAAGATAATATCAAATAAATATAAAAAATTTAGGTATCTTATACAGAGGATTTTCTGTCAAAATAAGACTCAACGTAAAGTTTAGACTTTTAAAATCCATACAAATATCTCATCATAAATCTTAAATTGGATTACTTTTTTTAATAAATATAGAAAGTATTGTAAGGTCACTGACCACTTACAACCTTCTAAGTATTTTAAATCCAATCATCATTTTGTCTTTTCAAGAAATTCTAAATGGTTTAGAGAAAATATATTTAAATAATTCCTATTCTTAATTATTAAAGGTTAAAAAAATATATTTAAATTGTAATTACCTTCGCAACTAAGAATTAAAAGATATAAATATATATAAATTATTTGTAGTATCAACTATCAAGTGATGTAAGAATATTAAAAATAAGAAATATGACTAATTTTTTGTAATAAATTTAAAATTATTAGAAAACTAAGTATGAATTGAAAATTTCATTGAATAAAAAAGAGAAAGTTGAATGATATATAATAAAAACAAAATCTATAAATATTTAGTGTTAAGATTATACTGAGGATGGAGTTAGATTTCTTATATGTATAACTGAGGGAATTTGCTGGTTCTAATCCAATAAACAAAATTCAAACTTGAATTAATAGAATTGATGCATTGACTTGAATAAATTGAATTTTTTGAAGCAGAAGTTGAAACGTAAAAACAAAAATACCTATGGAAAACTCCCAGTGTTTTACAGCATCATCATTTTCCCAGTCACCTTCATGAAGTACAGCTGAATGTATCCTTTCTGAGGAGATATTAGGAAGATGCTGAAGTTGCTTTCGAAAAACATGGAAGAACTTATCTGCAGATGCTTTGATGTCTACTTCAGCCTCCACTTTCCCACTTAAAGTCATTTCTTCACTCTCAGAAAATGCAGAGACAAAAACAAAAACAATGATTCAGATTACTTTTAAGAAGGAATGCAATTTGCTTAAATAGAATGTTCATTTTTTGACTAAAATGAATTATTGATTCAACTCACAGCTTTTAGATTGCGTGCTTCCTATACTCAACAATAATTTTATTAACTATTATTGTTTACGTGAATACATTGATAAATAAAAATAGTTTTAAAATTATGGTGGAGATATATTAGCAATATTAAATTGTTCTTACTTTCAATTCCTCTACATCTTGGAACTGATAACAATTAATAAAACTGATATATAAAAAGTCAAAATAGCTGATTGAAACATCTATCGACAGCTATATCAAAATCTGAAAAATGTTCTTGTACAAAATATTCGCTTACATAATATTGATTAGAAAACGTTTTCGTGTATCGTGAGAAATTTTTTTTTTCATAACTTTAAGCTGCTGATTTATTGATATATAAGATGTAGTATAATATATGTAAATAATAAATAATGCAGGGCTATATAGCTCCTAGGCATGACTCAGCCAACATATATCATAAAATCGTTTGGTCAATCACAGGTCAGACGATCAACTATTAACTACATGTATGAACAAATTATCAAGATCGGACAGGCACAAAGTCTCAGATCTGTCAATTATCAAGATAATTAAATATAATGCTGAACAATTTAAAGGTAAAATGTGATTACCACTAACGCTAATCAAAAGCCCACTCTGATATCTAAAAATATAGGTTTGAAGTAAGAAAGTAAGTAATTGCATTTACTACACCATTAATATATGAAATGTCAAACGTTAAACTGACTTTGGCATCAGAATCCCTTTTGCAGATGCCCTTCGAATAGCTTGGATGAATGACTACAAGAGAGTTGGGGCAAAAGACAACTTTGGGACCCCTTTGACTACTTTTAGACGTTGGATGTTAACCTTGACTTTACATCCCAAAACATTTTTATGCCCACCATGAACCGAGTATTCAATAAACCAACAAAAACCCCATAGTGACAACCAAGAACATGACAAGCAATGTAGTGGTGGAGGAGTCTAAGAATCATCCCAGTAATCTTGCAGCAGAAAGGAGATGCAAAGGAGGTATGAAGAGGAGGTTACGACTATTAGAGCTGAAATCGCAGCTATGCACCAAGAGCATAGTGTTTGACACTACATGCCTCGAGCATCAACATAATAGCAACAACAACAGTTTCAGCCTAGCCCATTCAGGCTTAGGGAAGACCTGTGTAGGGAGAACCCATTTTTGTAGATGGTGAATACGGCCGATGATGGCATACCCCTTAGCCATGACCCAAGCACTTTGAAAAAGAGTTATAGTCATCTATGCAAAGTCAAGCAAAACTCTTTCTCTTAGACCATCATGGAACACCTTTATTATATTAGGAGATTTAAGCATGTATTTTGGCCAAGTAGTATATGTTTCTTTAAGGCTTATATTAAGGCCTAATTNGCACCATTCAAAGCACCTTCATTTCTTCATCAATTGCTTCTGCTACATCATCTCACTTCTATGGAGTTTCATCACTTGTTGAAGGAGCATCCTCAATCTATTCTCCATCATTTGGTATCTAAAGTTATGATCACTATCTTTGAGGTCTACAAGATGTAAGTGTCTAAGTTCTTACCCAATTTTGTAGTCATTTTCTTGTTGTCTCATATTATCCACCATGCCTTGTATGTTGTTTGATCATGTATATGTGTTGTATGTTTTTAAATTTTGATTCAAACTACTTGTTTTTCTTGAATCAAACCATGTTGTGTTCTTAGGATTTCAATTTTCTTTATGAATATATGTAGAGTTTTGGGTCTTGTGTCATGGGTTTAGGTTATGTTTTGAGTCATTTTCTTTGATTTTCTGATCCTGTGAGTTGTGTTTAGGTCTTATGAATCCATAAATGTCGTCACATCCATGTTAAAGCCTTAAAAAAATTAAAATGTTGAAAGCCATTATATACCAAAATTAGCCTAGAGTTGGTGTCTTGGTGCGTCAGTTTTCGTTCTTAATAAATTCAATGAACTAACAATGAAAAAAGTACGCACAAAAACTTACGTATAGAAACTAAAAATCAAGTTAAAAGAAAAATTAACTATTATAAAGAAAACAACAAGAAAGAAAACACTTACATTGCCATTAGGCCTTTGTGCCTTAGTAAATGATCATATGTTCTTTTCTATTTATGGACAATATCATATTTTTTACTTCATGAAACCGATTTTCTCAATAGCACGTAGAATTGGTATACTTTTATCTTTAGATGATTATACCAAGAATAAGTCTTGAGGTTTTTCTGCACATGCTTTAGTCGATGTTGATTTCTTATCTGATTTGCCTAATCAAATTATGGTGAAAAGGTTAGGATTTACATTTATTATTGATGTGGATTATGAGAAATTGGCTTTATTTTNTCATATGACACTCCAAAAATGGAGAGGATTTTGCTTTGTTAGTTGCCACATGTCCTTCCCTTATTGGAGAACATTTGTGGACACTTGTCCACTCCTTAGAGGGCCACTATTTTCGGCCAAGGATGACTTGGAAGGGAAGGCATGCAAAGTTTTGGTTTTTTAGGGCTTTTAGGACACACCATTAGCCTATAAATAAATATGTCTCCTCTCTTGTAATTATCTTGATGTTGAGTAATGTTATGCTGCCCATTTTTTGTCATACTATTGATCTTAAGATCAAGACTAGAGCAATCCATGAGGCCCCTCTAGTCACCTTCCCCTTAAAGTTGGCTTAACCTCTCTTTAAGCCACCAAACACCACACAACCACCATATCACCACCTATGATCGTGAGCCTTCTTCCATATCAAACCATTGCTTCTATATTCTTACCTTTTTGTCCACCATATTTCGCATCGACATCACCAAAGGGACAAAACCTCATAGCCTTTCTAGCTTTGGACCATCCTTGCTTGGAAGGTTACTATTAGCCAGCCTATGACCCTTCATGGTAGCCATCATGGAGACCCTTATGCCTTTAGTTCCTTTAGTCTTTGAGAAGTACGATGGATTGACTTATCCAAAAGATCACTTGAAGATGTCGTCACCCAATAGACTTCTACACCACCAACGATCTGGTATGGTGCAAGGTGTTCTTCCTTTCCCTTAAAGGAGAGGCATTGGGATGGTTCAACTTCTTACCACCCAACTCCATAGATAAATTTTGTGACCATACATTCATTGCTCGACATGAAATTCGCCATGAGTAGGTCGCACCATATAACTACTCCTACCTTGGTCAAACTAAATCAAGAGAAGGAGGAGTCCCCTCACTCTTTCATGGACCATTTCGAGAAAACTGTCCAGCAAAGTTTGATTCAGGAGGAGACCAACCGCCAAAGTTGTGCTTCGTTAATTATCTTCCTGATCTTAGGACAAATCATTTTTCAAGAGGGAGGATATGATGGAAACCATCTTGGGAGCTTAATGGAGAACCGTCTAGGGAGCATCAACTTAAGCTTGGGCTTGGAGAACGAAAGAAGAAGATGTGTTTTCAAGTTTGTTTTTACTTTCTTTTAAGCCTTGTAAATATGTAATATAGTTTGATTTTAGGCCTTGTATTTGGCCAAGAACATTGCCTAGCTTTGTTTAGAAGGCTTGGTGCCTTTAAGAGTATCTTAGAGCATCATTAGGGCCTTAATAAGGTAATTAGCACCTAAACGGGTTTCATTTTGGGTTTAGAAGGGGTTAGCTACAAGGAGCCTAATGCTTTGATTGGTTAGATATAAGCATAGACTCCTCATTTAATGATGGAGAATGTTTTGCTAATTATTTACAAGCATAGGCTCATCATTTAATGTTTAGGCTCCTCATTAAATGTTTTAGGCTCCTTAAGAATTCTTTGTACTCTAACCCTTCTTCTTCACCTATAAAAGGAGAGACACCTCTTTTTATAATTCTTAAAACTTGAATGATAATTGTGAAACCTTTTCCAAAATTTCAAGTCTCACCTTTCTTGAGTTTTCATTGGAGATTTTTTAAAATTTAAACTTCTTCTACCTTTACCCTTCAAGATTAGTCCAACCTCCTTCAAGGATTCACATCAAGATCGCACCATTCAAAGCACCTTCATTTCTTCATCAATTGCTTCTGCTACATCATCTCACTTCTATGGAGTTTCATCACTTGTTGAAGGAGCATCCTCAATCTATTCTCCATCATTTGGTATCTAAAGTTATGATCACTATCTTTGAGGTCTACAAGATGTAAGTGTCTAAGTTCTTACCCAATTTTGTAGTCATTTTCTTGTTGTCTCATATTACCCACCATGTCTTGTATGTTGTTTAATCATGTATATGTGTTGTATGTTTTTAAATTTTGATTCAAACTACTTGTTTTTCTTGAATCAAACCATGTTGTGTTCTTAGGATTTCAATTTTCTTTATGAATATATGTAGAGTTTTGGGTCTTGTGTCATGGGTTTAGGTTATGTTTTGAGTCATTTTCTTTGATTTTCTGATCCTGTGAGTTGTGTTTAGGTCTTATGAATCCATAAATGTCGTCACATCCATGTTAAAGCCTTAAAAAAATTAAAATGTTGAAAGTCATTCTATACCAAAATTAGCCTAGAGTTGGTGTCTTGGTGCGTCAGTTTTCGTTCTTAATAAATTCAATGAACTAACAATGAAAAAAGTACGCACAAAAACTTGCGTATAGAAACTAAAAATCAAGTTAAAAGAAAAATTAACTATTATAAAGAAAACAACAAGAAAGAAAACACTTACATTGCCATTAGGCCTTTGTGCCTTAGTAAATGATCATATGTTCTTTTCTATTTATGGACAATATCATATTTTTTACTTCATGAAACCGATTTTCTCAATAGCACGTAGAATTGGTATACTTTTATCTTTAGATGATTATACCAAGAATAAGTCTTGAGGTTTTTCTGCACATGCTTTAGTCGATGTTGATTTCTTATCTGATTTGCCTAATCAAATTATGGTGAAAAGGTTAGGATTTACATTTATTATTGATGTGGATTATGAGAAATTG